AGCGGCAAAGCTCTTCCGCCAGGGGGTTAAGCGGAAAGCTATATCCGATCCTAAGAGCGTACTCATAGAATGTGCAGAACCCGGGCCTATGCACATTGGCATAGTCCGTCCCGGCCGGAGCCATTTCAACATGGCCAGGAATGTTGTATCTAGTTCTAATGGCGTCCAGGTGAGACTGAAGCAACTCGCTATGCTCCCAGGTTTAAGAGGGGCATGTCGTATTGAAATCTTTCCGGACACTCAAATCCTTCGGTAAAACATTATTTACCGTTAAAGGAACAAGGGTCTTCTCCACTTCTTCCCCTTCACCATCGGAAGGGGGCGGAACCCTAGAAGAAGCGCCGTCCTTAGTCCTGTTGCTTTCTTGACGGCGTTTCACCATGATACGATTTATAAGAATGAAGTGTTAGTAATGAGAGATACGATCCTCAGAAATGGTATTTCTCTGAAAGCGATACAACTCTTGCAAGAAAGAAAGATGAAGAAACAAAGGGAAACTCTCTGAAGGTTCGAAAGATGAATCTCTTTGAACCACTCCTCTATTTATAGGAATGAGGCACACGAAAATCGAAGAGGCACAATTCTGAAACTGGCGCGGGAAGCCAAAATGTCACGTCATGTTCTGAACAGTCTCGGGAACCAAAAATAATGATGACGCATGTGACTGGTGACGTCACCTTAAAAAAGGGGGTCGCATGTCAACGACCCAATAAATATTATCCACGCTCACGCTCTTCGAAAGAGGCGCCTATGGGCGCGGCCAAATTTCCGTAAAAAGCAAATCGTGCATGTCCGTTCATTGAAGACGGTCATCGAGTACGTCTCCAACGAACGGAGGGACTAACTGTATAGGGTTAAATTTGGCTCATAACGCCCCCACACCAAATGGGCACGTCCCTTATAATAGGGGCGACCTGAGTGAGGGCACGACCCAAGTTGGTGAAGAAGAAGTGACGTCGTTTAGTGCCTGACCTTTTTACTGATTAGAAGCCACCAACTTTTGTACCTTTTTTATTATTTCGAGGGAGGTCTCCTACTATATAAAGGAGACCTCCACATTGTAATAGAGGGATGGTTATTCTCGGATAATACAATTTCTCTCTCTATCTCTCTCTCTTATCTCTTTCTTGATTTTCCAACCATTGCTTCCCTCTTAAGCTAAGTCTATTTCACTACGCACTTACAGATCTACAAACATTCTTGAAGCAATAATCATCTCTTGGGTTTATTATATTTGATTACGATTTACCCCTATATATTTTCGATTGTTTTTAAGCTTATAAAATACGAATATAATTTTTGAGCAAAACAAAGAGTATTGGCCAATATTTTACTTTTTTTTTTTTTTGGTATGGGTAAAGGTAATTCAGTCAATTATTCGGACATTAAGCTTGCGTAAGAGTTACTCCACTACTCATTGGAACATCATAAATATCAACTTTACCACCTACAACGTCCAAATACATTTAATCCTATATTAGTAGTCTTGTTGATTTTTAACATGTTGGATATTAAGCTCGAAAGAAAGGTTTTGCTTTAAATTAAAGACATTTTTTGTCAATCGTATTTTTTTTGGTATTTGATCTAGTTATGAGTACTTTCAACAAGTCCATTGTGTCTTTTTCTCTCCCGCTGTGCTTTTATGCCGATAAGAGAAAGAAGAACATTACCACCAAAGGATGTGGTGCAGCGGATGGGGCTGTTCCTCCCTTAACCAGAGGTTTCGGGTTCGAGCCCTGGGTATGAAAAAATCCTTGGTAGGGAGCGCTTCCCCCCAAATGGGGCCCTATTTGGTACGAATCCAAATATAGTCGGGTTCCAATACGAGTACCGGATACGTTTGAGAAACAAAAAAAAGAAGAAAGAAAGAAGAACTTTATGTCTCAAGCTTGATTAGTGTTGCGACGTTTGTAAGATTTAAATCACATAATGAGAAGTGGAGACTAAAGCATCATCACTTGTTAAGTATCATTTCAATGAGGCTCCATAGCTTTTCCAAAAGTATATTTATTTAACATATGTAGTATGATATAATTGACTGTTGCGTTAAATTCACATAGTGTTTTATAAGCTTTAATGTGGAAAATAAATTAAACAACTTAGTAGACAACTAGTTTAGAAAATAAACAATTTAACTGTAGAGTCAAATAAGGCAACTTTTTTCTAACGAGGAGTAACATTCTTAAAATATAGGCAAATTTCCACTATCTTTGAGCTTAAAAATACACAAATGATTGTATATATTTCCATTTTAATCCATGCAAAAGATAGTGCATGCTGCATGAGAAATACACTTCAATGACACCTATTAATGCTGTTGAATTAAGTACCAAACTCGTTATTGATATTTATCTTTTGGGATTATGTTGTGTGTTTTGGTAAATTGTTATCGGATCTTTACACTGATAATAACCATTCGAATTCATTATTTACCTTAGTGTTTACCGTGAAAATGATAATAACAATTAAATTTGATTATGGAATTTAAAAATACGTGATCTATTTTTTTGCTAGTTGTCAAGCAGTTGATGCTGTGTGAAAGACTTAGAAACGAGATCAGAGCTTGAAAGCAGGGAGATAACCAAACCGAATGATTAATAGTCGGGGCCTCGAGCTGGCTTATTCGGGGCTTCGAGGTCGAGTCGGATGCTCGGCTGAGAGCTACCGGGGGTAATCGAAGGGCGACTAACAGTTGGAATAAGATTAATGACGGCTCTTTATGGCCAATAATAAGCAATAAATGACAAATAATAAATAGAACACAATGAGTGCAAGCAATAAATGAAGTAATGAACTCAAGAGAATGTGTTAGAGAGCAGAGAGAATGTTCTTGTATATTTTTGTATGGAGCAACAGATAGATACAAAATGACAGGGATCCCCTTTATATAGGAAGGGAAACCCGAACATAATACTAATGCATTAATTACAAAAGATACGGAGATGGGACAGCTAGTTGAGGTCATGATTCGGATTTGAGCATAGCTTCACTAGACTTTGTCAGCTCTAGATATGCGCCTAGGGAACTCCCCACTTTTTTATTATAACTGTTGGTCTGCACCGCCCCCGTGGTCGAGCGTCGGTAGGCTTCGAGGGTGAACTTTGACCATAGCCTCGAACCTGTGAAATATGCTTACGAGCCGTCACAACGACAGAAAATTTGACCCTTCGATTTTACCGTATACACTTAGTGTACATAAATATATTATCTTATATATATAAATTATATATATATATATATTATATTCATCGATTTTTAAATATAAACGATTAAACGAGCGACATCTAGATTAATAATTCATTCTTCTTTTTCTTTCTCTATACTAATAAACTGTTTTCAGTGGGATTGCTTGAGTTGCATAGTTGACTTTCACTACAATGCTTTTGCTATCATTTTCATACACCTAACAAATGCCACATGGCAGATGAAAGAGGCAGCTAGTGGGAGGGGCTAAAGTGTAATATCAAATAGGGAACCAGCTGACATATTGGATTGCGTTTAGCCACAGCATGTTCAACAGAATATGAAAGTAGGAGTACTAAATAAATTTGTCTGAATATTTAAAAAATGACACTCCTAATTATTTGTCTGAAGTACATTTTAAAATAATTTTTGAAGCTGGGAAAAAGACAGTGACACAAAAATACTATTCCATCCCGCACCTATAATTTATGAGGTCTGGTTTTTCTGTTTCTAGAATCTCCAGAGGAGAAGTGCTATTGTCATGCAATGATTTGCGGCAAATCAAATCCCTAGCTCAATTAAAAAAGTATTTTTATTTAAGACTTTCTTTAAAAAAAAGGAAAGAAACAAAAAACTCTCCTTTAATTTCTCCAATATTTACTTCCAAAATGTTCTTTTGTTGTCCCAATTTTTCACTTGAAATAAGTTGTGATTTATAATATTTTTTATGTGATTGCTAATATGTAAATTACAAATAAATTGATATTACAGAGTAAATTCTATATTTTAAAAATACATAAAACAAGATTAATAACTTGATATTGTAAATCACAGAAAACATTAGATGTGTTGACCCTTTATTAGCCACGAATTTTGTTATTTATCATTTAGAAAAAATATTGAATACTTTTGTGTAAAGTAAGATGAGCTTGAATAAATTGACAAATGGTTTTAATATAGGTCCTTTTTATTCAATATTCGACATTCATTTTGAGGCAAAAGGCATGTTTATACTTTATATGTTGAAATTCAACAGAGATAAACAGAGGGTTCCCCACTTCGAGCCATACGCGTTTGATTCAAACGCAGCTACTATCAAACAAGTGGGCGATATGATTAAAACAACTTTGACAACGTAATGCTTTGCTTTCAAGAATTATTGATAAGTATATATTGTCATTTTTAACCCAACAAACAAATAAATAAATATATACAAAACCAAAAGAAAAGATCCCAGTCTATAACAATATATGCTTAATTAACGTTAATCCTCAAATCCAGCTTGGACCATATATCATGTTTAGTTAGCAAATGTTGCCAACTCAACGGTTTTCTCTAGAAGAATAAATAAAATATTTTGTTAATAATTTTTTCTTAAAGAATCACGCGGCTGCATGTGAAAGATAGGAGAGAGAGAGAAGAAAAATAACAAAGTCATCACGTGGAGTGTCGGCAAAGGATGTCTTTTTTTGAGGTGAAGTATTTGTTTGGTTAGAAGGGACTTTTCTTTGTTGTTTTGTCAATTACTCCTCCCCTTATCTAACCTAATTTATTGGTCTATTCTCCATGTTATTTTTTCATTGTTCCCAATAATCAACTACATTGGACAAATAATTAAGGCAAATTAAGTATTTGGCCGGTCAATAAAAAATAATTATATATATATATATTAAATGAGGTTTTCCTGTGCATAGCACGGGCCCAACATTTAGAATGCTGATATACTCTGATGATTGTTTATAATCTTTAGATAATCTATTATTTAAACCTTAAATATGAACACATACCTTAGAACAAACCATGATTTCACAAACACATAAGCAAAAGTTCCATCCTTAGTAAATAGTAACAAACATAAAAGACTACCTACTACTTGAAGCATATATATTCAGTATGTGCATTCAGGAACAATGAATATCATTGAAATTACATCCACGAAGATAACCATACAAAATGACGGTCAAAAGGCACTACTTATTTATGACTTGGTTGCTGAAACATCTTCTGCTAGTAGAAGCTATTATAACTGCATGACTAAGATACCATAGAAAAGAACATGTAAATAAGTGATTCAACTCCCTCATACATCTTTGTCCAATTCTATGTTTTGATTGTTACTTGGTCTTTACAAATGCCTTGCTTGAACTGGTTGAGCTGGGTAAGGAAAACTGACAAAGAAGTAATGCACTAATCATCCATCAGGGAAATTTAATGATAGAGATAAAATTTAGCCTTTAAATAAATTAAATTTCTAATAATCAAGATATTGAACATGCACAAATATAATCAATAAAAAACACATCATTACAACATAACACGTCAAGGTTTTGAATTGAATAAAATTAATTTGAAACAAACAATTAAATAAATAGCTTGGAAAAAAAGAAAAATAAAGACAACATACATTATAAAAGAACTCTTTCTACTGGCATGTTAGAATCAATTGAAGCATGTGGATAACTATAACTTAAATTTAAAGAAATATATAAAACTAAACACAATATAGACACACTCAACACTGGCTATTTCAAGAAAGACAAACATAAATATATATGGAACGGTCTGTTGAGGGATCGAACGAATTAAAAGAGGTAGTTCATAGCCATTACCGATTTAAGTGATGGAGGAGGAGCTTAGTCTTCTGCAATCATGGAAAGTAAATTTTGCTCTTAGTTCTGCTTGGTAGTTTCAATCTGCAAACAAAAAAAAAAAAGAAATCAAAAGTAGTCATCACACCAGCACGTTCATAGTACATTATATATGTTAAAAGATAGCATATATATGTGAATGCTATTTTTGACATTCCATTTATAAATACACATGAATCCTATCATCCTCATGCGTTTCATGTATTGAACTAAAAGTAGAACAAACCAAACTATCAAGCACTAACCAAGTGGCCAAGTGAATTAGTCCCTACCAAATATGCGAAGATGGTAAATCAATCCACCATTTCCACTTTCAGATAAAACATGTACATGAAATATAAACTTAAAGTATATTTCGAGAAAATTATATGAAAAATTGTTAGGTGAAGAGCAATAACAAAGAACAGGAAAAGATAGCATGTGCTGATTCAATATCTAGCTACATGAAACTTTATTTCACGGCATGAATATATAGGTAATAATACCAACATTGATGTTCCTAAACGGACCTCCATGCCAATCATATGTTCAAATGATAATAATAGCATAATACAAGAACAACAATATTTTAATGTATAACATATGAGCTATAAACCAGATTAGCTTTTGACACAAATTTTTATTCTTTAACAAATTGGATTAAACTGATAACAAAATAAAGGTGACCAATCTAATCAAAGACAAAGAGCCTGGCCTGAATTATGTTATAACCTTCATCACTTGAATGAAAGTGAATGCTCCATTCACACTCTGTGAAGTGAAGAGTTGTGAACATGGTTCATAGAACTATTCCAAACTAAGCAATGGATATCTAAAGAGCTTTAAAATTGCCATTGATAGACGAATATATAAAGAGCTTTAAAACTGGCCAAAAAGGTTTAGATCAATCAAATACAACAATATAATACACTTGACTAATTATTAGTACAAAAGAAAAGGAGATCATTGTCAAAATGACTGTTGGCATCTTTCTAATTTTCTTCTTTTGGCGGGTGGGAGGAGAGATCACAAATAAAAGTGAAGCTCGACCTGCTCGCTTTTGCTTCGAAGAATTAATGAATAGTCTCAATAAATAAAAACTGGTGACAAATGTTCCTTTCCCAAAATGAACACTTCTCGCATGAACTTGTGAGTTCATAAAAAAATTCATTATTGAAATTTTACATAGTAGAAGTTCTATAAAGTTCATTATGGAGATTTGTTGTTAATTTTAAGAGGAAATTTGTGTCAGTGCTCCTTTCTATTTCCTCAAATGAATACTTAAGCATCTTTAAAGTTTCTACAAAATGAGAAATAGGAAAGAATACGAAATAAGAAAAATATCAAATGATTGTTCTTGTACTTGTCTTTAAAATAAGGCAGTTGAATAATGATGATCAGAGATGATGAGTTTTTAAGTACAACACAAAGTTAACACAATTCAAATTCTTTTTTCTGTTTTCAGTAGCCATTAGTCTTGTAAACACAGAATAGGGCAAAATAGTAGAACTATTAATTTTCAAAGGAAGTGAATTTTCAACCAAATAGAACTTTATTATATAATAGGCATTATATGAGCAGTAAAAGGAAAAATTTTTAAATCAAAATTACTCATTTTTATACAAAGATTTTTACATTCATCTAAGTTTGTTCGCTATCAACATGATCTTGCTAAAAAATTATGGAGAAGCAACTCCCTGACGTGAGCATATTTGTCTCAAGGGATAAATCACTGATCACGCCCAACTATGCCTTATAAAAAGGACTCTGCGGACGTTGCAAATATAACCCGAGTATTACGCCCAGGGTCGAATCCACAGAGAGTTAACCTATCAACCACTATCTTCAGACCCACTAATTCTTCAGAACCAGCTTCCCAAACATTCAAATCTCAGTTGAGTGTTCTTTAATAACTAGCTTGCAAGTAACTAAATAGCTGTAAACTAAACTAATAAGGTTGTAAACAATTATGAGAAAAATGCTAAGGCAATGATTTCCCCTATTGATGGAATCCCTTCTGTTTATGCTCATACAAATTTACCCACACATCTCTATCAATCATGAACGCTAATCTTACCGCAAATCTCTCCCGAGTAATCACAGTAATCTACTATTGCACTCTCCCGAGATACACTAGCTTGCTTTATTTAGCACAATTCAATTTAGATTGCACCCAAGGCTTCGTTATTCCTAATCCCGCCTTTAAACCCGCAATTATAGATTCCTCTAATAATCTAGGAGTGGTGTTGTTTCAACAATACCCTAAATATGCACTCTTTTTCCAAGTTATGCACACTAAATAGGCACAGCTAATTGAGGATCCTGTCAATTAACTACAACGAACACGAAGTTGAACAAATAAAGATTAAACTAGCAATTTGTATTCACATAAACAAGAAGTTCATCACCCAATAGGTTCCATCAACGCCTTAGACAAGGAATTTAGCTACTCATGGCTATGGAAAAATAAACTAAGCTTGAATTCATCAATAAATCAAAAGAAAAGAAGAAAGATGTTTAGAGTACTTTCTCCCAATTGTTTTCCTTGCTAAGAAACCTAAAAACTCAATACATGCCTCTCTTGGGCGAAGTCTAATATTTTAAATAGGGTTTAGGTCTAAAAATCCCGTAATTGACACTTTGGTCCCTGAAGTTTCTGCGCCTGCCGCGGTTCTGCCGCGGTCGCGGTAGAACCGCGGCCAAACACCCTCGCGGAATCTCTGAACTTCTGCAGCTGCTTCCCACCGCGGTTCTGCCGCGGTCGCGGTGGAACCGCGGCCAAACCAGTTCTCTGAATTCTAA